GGTGCATTAATGACGCAGTTGAACCTTGAAAACATGATGCCAAGTGAAACAAGTCAGATAAATGGTCACATTATGTGATTATATGTGCAGGAAACATCCAGAATTGGCACACCCATAGAAATAGCGAACTGATTTGTGGTTAGCAGGCACTTGGGGGAGAGGGGAATGGAGGTGAGTGCTTAATGAGGACAGAGTTTCCTTCTGGACTAATGAAAGTATTTTGAAGTTAGTGCAGATGCCTGTACAGCACTGTGAAGGCACTAAATGCCACTGATTGGGTATTTTACGATAACTGAAATAATCAATTTTATGTTATGTGTATTTTTACCATGATAAAGAAAAATATATGCCCCTGGTGAAAAGTGCAATCAGTATAAAAAAAAGTATAATAGGGAAAATAGTTTCCCTTCACCCAGCTATCTTTCTGTTTCCCACAGGAAAATTCTGTTAAGAGTTTATTGCACAGTGCAGAAGATGTGTTAAAATAAATCCAGGTGCCTGTGTGCCCTATTAAAACAAACAGCACCATGTATGAGGTGGTATTCTGCATCTGATTGTTTTTCTATGAACATCTTGGAACCACTTCCGGTCAGCACAGACAGACTACTGTCTACTGAGACTGTATTTGTTTTGGTGATTGGAGAATACTCCGCCATGCCGTTGCATGATGGGACAGCAGCACAAACCTAGTCTTGCCCACTTTCAACTACACCTGCGGAATCAACCTCAAACCATGAGGTAGCTCTCCTTGTGGAATGCTAAGTCCCTGTGCCCAAGCTGGTGACATATCTGATTCTCAAAGGTGACTTTTTTGATTCTTAAGCCCCAGCTGCAATGCTGGAGTCAAAATCAAAGACTCACCATTGGGGTTGATTGCTGAGAGATTTTTCAAAGGTAATTTGTACCTGTGAATGATTTTATTCCTCATCTATCAGTAAAAGTATAGAAATGTAACATATTTATGTTTATGGACAACCTACCTATGCACATATACACTGATGACAAATATTATACTACTCATAGATTATAAGTACCATAAAACATTCACCTAGAAATTTTAAAAAGATGTTCTCAACTAAACATATACAAAGCTTCCAATCTTCTGCCTACATCAGCTCATGAATTCCTGGGTGTCCACACTCTACTCTGATTTTAGAACATGAGCTTTTTAATCTTATGCATCAACTTTATAAACAAATCCCTCTATTAGATATGATTCTGCTGAAACACAATTATTTCACCAGCCCACTTAGGTTAGCAGCTCTTAGGTTAGGACCCCTTAGCTAGGACCACGTGGCTTAGTCAGCCATGTTCCTGCATCCTAGTGCACTTATGTGTGTATCTAGCCCCTCTTTTTAATTTCTGGGTCTGAAGCCCAGAGCAAGGAAGAGGTGTTCAAAGCCTCACAATTGGGAGGAGAGCCCAAATCCCTGAAGCAGGCCCTGCCTGGGAGGCCTGGTGCTAAGGGCACTCCTTCACTGGGGGTGGGCTTAGCTGAGGGAGAGCAGGCCCTCAGCCCCAGGACAGGAGCCCTGTACTTACTGTGGGAGCTGATGTATTCGGGGTGCTTGCCCGGCCCCAGGGGGAGGGCCTCCTCATAGTAGTCCTCTGGAGGGGGCCTGTTGGGGAGCGGTGGAGGCAGGTCGGCTGCCTGAAGGAGGCCAAAGGAGGAATGTGAGACCAAAATCACCGGGCTGGTGAAGGAGGGGGAGCAGATAGACTGAAAAGGTGTGCGGGGGTGGGGGGGGTGGAGGGGAGAGCAGGAAGAAGCTCCCAGAAGGCAGGACGAGGCTCTGGACTGTGAAATGTCGCTTCTAATGGAGTTGGGAAATCTGGAGAGTTTATCTGACCTTGAATTTCTTTCACCAATTATTTAAGCACGTGGGCTCCTCTACAATGTCCACAAGTTTGAGGGACTGCCACGTAGAAGAAGTTATACTTTAGACTGAGCACAAGCAGCATGACAGCTACTGGAAACTCTGCAATTCTCTGGAACCTGCAAACGCGTGAGGGTCAGCAGGACAAGTAAATGAGAGACCTGCCACTGGGAGGCGCTAAGTGGCGCTATGAGCCTGGGGCTCTGGGCCTGGGGCCCCAGCTTTACAGGTAAGTTCTGTCACTTACTACTGTGTGACACTGACATGTCACTATCTGAGCTTCAGTCTCCTGACCTATGAAACCGGACAACAGCGCCAACTTCAGCTGCAGTGAGCATAGAGAGGACACCGCCAGTGATGAGTAATTGGTGAAAATGATATTGACTTTTGCAATCAACAGACAGTGCTTGGTGTGATGATGAGCCCCTTAACTTAATTCCATGGACCACGCCTGGGACCTGTCGAGGCCACTTAGCGCCTCCCAAGTGGCAGGTCTCTCATTTACTTGTTCTGCTGACCCTCACGCGTGTGCAGGTTCCGGAGAATTGCAGAGTTCCCAGGAGCTGTTGATCATGCTGCTTGTGCTCAGTCTAAAGTAGAACTCCTCATTGTCCTCAAACTTGTGGACATTGTAGAGGAACCCCTTCATTTTGCAGGTGAACACTTCAGGCTCAGAGAGGGTAAATAGTCTGCCTGGCTACAGGGTGGCAGGGAGGAGGGAGGTGTCCCCAGCTCCCAATCCAGAGCTTATCCCATTACCTGTCGGTATTGCTGCAGTCAGACGCTGGGGTGGGGCCATCCTTCAGCATTATCCCTATTCAGCACAGGGGCCAGGAGAGAGTTGCGGGCCCTTGTAATGCTGTGTCTACCTTAACTACCACTTGGAGGACAGACCAAGAGCTTCCCCGGCAGGAGGGGGAGAGCTCCCTTGCGACTGGACAGGGGATGAAGGTGTGGGACCGCAACTCACATTTCTCAGGCAAGTGGGGCTCTTGGATGGCTCAGGGCTGGCTCCTTTGCTGGGCTCCCCCTCGTCCTCTGGCATGTCGCGAAGGTCACTCAGGTCACAGTCTATGGAAGGTCAGGGCATGAGTAGAGGGATCTGAGGATAAGCATGGCAGAGCAGGGAGGGGGGCTAGATTTGGGGCCAGGAGGTCTCCCCACATCCTCTGGTACTGTGACTGAGTAGTCATGTGGTCTTCTCTGAAAACTGCTGGCAATAATCCCTGCCCCAACTACTGCCCAGTGTAGTGGAGAGGATGAACTGGGGGAACATCTGCTATGGGGCTTTGGAAGTTCCCCAAGTTACGTGAAAGCACAGTGTCCTTCCCAAGTCTCCCATGTCCACCATGCCACACTGGTCCTTCCTGGCTCCATTTTCTGCAGAATTGCTGGATTCTCAACCCACCACCAGGCGGACACTCGGGGTGAATGAAGTAGCTGGCTAGATGACACCCTTGTGCCGTATCTTTTTTGACCTGTGTTCACCCTCCTCCCCCTCACATCTCTGGGATGATTTCTTTATGATAACGCCAGACTGGATTTTCAGGCCTGGCAGGGCCAAGAATGGCCGAGGGGCTTGTCCAAAGGCTCTCTGTGGTGGCATCAGAGCCGGGTGCAGGGTCAGGTGTTTCTCAGCCAATCTGCAGACCTTTCCAAAGACTGGGGAGGTGGACAGGGTCAGTTGGGGAGGGGCAGCTCCCAGCTCAGGCCAGGAGATGGACACCTACCAAATTCTTCAAAGAGGGACTCCACAAAACTGGGCCCGGAGTGGAGATCTGCTGTGTTCACGTACAAGTAGGAGACTTCTTTTGCTGCGAAGAAGGACACCCAGCAGTTAGGAGGGAGCGGACCTCCCGCCCACTGGACTTCTGCTTTGCAAGGGACACAGTCTCAGTTTACAAAGAGAAGTGTACATCCTCGAGTATTTCCCTTTGTCTTTAGTTTTGCATGGCTACAGACGACCTCCTTCTCCAAGTGAAAGGACCTGGGGACCCTGTGAAGATGGTGGAGAGAGGGCTGTGCTGGGGAAGGCAGGCCTGAGGCTTGGGGAACAGACCGGGCAGGACGCTGCCTGTCACCCTCTCTGAGGGCGGCGTGATGGCTCATGTCTGCTGGACGTGAGGCGCAGAGTGACTTCGCACCACATCACACAGAGGCTCCAGCCCCGGGGACTGATGGGCAGCAAATGCCATCTCGGGGGCTGGCCTGAGGTGTAGTGGCAGAGAGGAGGGGCAGAGAGGAGGCCTTGCTGCTGAGCAGACAGCGAGACAGAAGCCGTGGGAGCGAGGGGGCAGGTGTGGCGGGCGTGGGGCGCCAGTGTGCTGCACTGGACTGCACGCGGTGGGAGCTGCCATGGCGTGTCTGTTACATGTGTGGTGCATGTGAGGATGCACGTGTCGGGGGCGGTGTGCCCATCAGTGTATGCTGCGTGCCGTGCGTTTGTTATACAGGTGAGGAGCGTGCTGTTTGTGGCGTCTGCATGTGCATACATGGGCTCTGTGTGATTCTGGAGCGGGTTGAGGACGGAGGAGGCCTGAGGCAGATGAGGACACCAGATGCAGGAGTGTTGAGGGCCAGCTAAGAGGCTCATCCTTCCGCTGGCGGGGAAGGCTCTTGAGGAGCTGACCTGGGAGAGGCTGCAGGTTCTGCAGGATGGAGGCCACGGCCATCTTCTTCTGCAGGGTGGTGTCACTGAGGTACTCGTGGTCCAGAAGGCTGAGCAGCCCGGTGAGCTCGGGAAGCAGCTGCTCCAGCACTGAGGAGGAAGGGCCAGGGGCATGTTATGCTCTGAGGCCTGAGTGCCGGCCCTGTGCCACCACTGTAGTGAGGGAAACGGGGCCTCAGGGCCAGGCAGACAAAACAGGCGACCTCAGAGGCCCTCACAGCTGTCCCCGGCTGACGTCCACCCTCCCCTGGGAGAGCCGTGCTCCGTTAACCATGAGGTTTCTCTGGGCCTCCTTCACTACCTCTGATCTTACTTGGCCTGAGGACTGGCCCTCCTGCACTCAGCTGGCAGCTCTGGGCCCAGGTAGCCCCCCAGCAAGGGCATTCAGGTGCTCCTTTGGTCCAGCCTTCCCTCTGCTTTGCAGGCCCCGGGGTCCGTCCTCATGCAGCCCCTGGCTCAGTATAGGTCCCAGGCTGCAGCCCGGCTGTCAGGACACAGGCAGGAAGGAAGCCTTCCTGTCCCATCTGATCATATATTTCAATCTCTGGAAACTTCTGTTTCCGGTGCCTTGGTAGAAGCCAAGCTAAATATTAACCCTTCCCATCCCAGATCCTAAATTATGGTCACCATTCTTTATTTTTATACCACAAGCTTGAATATATCCAGGTATCACCTGCCAGACCTTGGCATAAGGCAGATTCTGACTCCAGAAGCCTAAATTCTGCATTTCTGAGAAGCGCCTGCCTGCTACTGCAGGCCGAGACCACAGGGAGTTGCAAAGTCTAAAGAAGAATTCTTTAAAGCCTGGCACGTGCCAAAGCCATGATGTCATTAATGTCCCTCTGTTCCCAAGAGGGAGTAGGGACTTGATTTTCCTTGGAGCCAAAGATCAGCTTCCTTACAGTACTAGTATTGTCCAGCTTTGCATCTTGCCAGCCACTTGTGCAGTCATAAAAATTAACATTGCAGAACAATTATTGTGAACTGTGCTAAGCCTTTTTAGACATATAGTTTCATTTAAATCTCAGATCAAGCCTTTCATTAGCTCTGTTACATGGAGGATGATACTAAGGCTCAGAGAGGTTAAGTAACTTCTCCAGGCTCACACAGCCAGCAGAGCATCATCTGAATCTAGCCTCTTGTGCTTTTCAACCATGGTACTGCAACACCTGGCAGTATTTTCTATGACCCTACTAAGTTTTGAGCTCGGCCCACTGATTCCCATTATAGAACCTGCCTCTCTGTTCTGTGGGGTGTGTGTCCATGTGCCTCTGTGTCTGTTTTCCTCAGCAGGCTGTGAGGCTCTGGAAAGTGTAGCCAGGCCTGAGAACAGCAGCTTCCTCAGCATCGGGCCTGGAGCCTGCTCAGTGAGCACACGGTGTGTGTTTGATGAGAGAAAGGATGACCAGAAAACCATCCAGGGCTTTATTCTCTAAAGTAGAAATCTTGGGCCTCTCTGGTGGCGCCAGGGGTTAAGTCACAGCATGATGGAGCTATCCACAGCCACTGCAGCACGAGTTTGATCCCCGGCCAGGGAGCTGACCCACAAGGCACAGCAGACCTCTCCTGACCTACCCGCTGCTCCCCTCAGCAGTGTATTTCAGTAGATCTGCCTGTTCTGCTCCCTGCAGAATCCTCTCACCCTCCTGCACCTCCAACTTGTACCCCAGTTCTTCATAAAAATAAATGAAATCTTAAAGAAAAGTAATTTTAACAGTGGCACTTGTCAGAAAAATGTGATGTTGCAGTCTCTCCGAGGCTCTATTTTTACTCAAATTTGTTGACTGAAATAAAGCCTGAAACTGGCAGCTTCCACCATGAGCTCTGCTCACTGCTGGGCACTGTCCACATGTCCCACGGACTCTCCACGTACCTCTGAGGGAGGCGGCTACTGTGACCCCAAGCCAAGACGGCACAGGCTGGGGAGCCCCCAAAGAGGTGGAGCAGGGTTGATTCCAGCTTTGTGTGATTCCTAGATCTGCTGAGTTGCACAATTCCAGGGGTGATGCTCCCCCTCGGAGTCCACGTGCAACATGCCTGGAGGCCCACTGTTTCTAGAGCTGGAGGCTGCCCTTGCCACTCCATGCCAGTGAGGGCTCTTTGAAGCAGAAAATTATTTAAAATTATTGAACCCCAATGTCAGCTGTGGTGAAGCAACCTGTTCAAATGGAATCACAAATATTCCTGCACCTTTAATGGGCACACTAGGAGTCAATTAATTCTAAAATATTTGCTGAGTGCTAATACTATGTCACGCTGGCCCCCAGGGGAATTAGAAAATGAACAAGTAGAACTGAGTGCTAGTAAAAATTAAAAAAGAATGAGCATGCAGCGGGCATCTCTTCCTTTCCTCCTCAGTGCCCACCCCCTTCCCATCCCCAAAATGACTGATGAGGCCAAG